AAGTACTAGTGATTAATACCTATTACTGTTTTCTGTTTAGATAGCATTGTGGAAACTGTAAAATAAACGAAAAGTTTTTCTCTAACAAAGAATAGAGTCTGTTCTACTCAATGTTTTATAAATTGAACGTATTGAGAGGCGAATATTCTCTCAGAGATCTAGTTCAAAGTCATGAACTGCTCCACAAGACAATACCTACATTCATTGTCGTCAGTTATTTCTTTCGTACAGGTCTGAGCTGATTTTTTTGATTGTTCGATGAACTGAATAGAACATGTTAAAATGAACACTCCCTAATTTAATAATGATCTCGAAAGTCAATCCTAGATAGAAAAAAATATTAATTGTAAAGTAGCCATATGAATATATTGGCTGACATGTTTAGAGTATGAAATCAGGGAAATAGCTGTCATGACTCGTCAAACTCATTTAAAACTCTCAAAAACAAATAATAGTTTGCATTTCATCAAAGTTCTCTCTAAAGAGAACCAAAAAATGTCAAGAGGAGCATAAAAACATACGAATAATTCAATATATAACATATCGACGTTTCTGATCGATTCAACTTTTGTTTTGTAAAATTCTGCGAATTCCTAAATCACTGAGTAGAAGCCGAAAGAAAAGATTTTAATGATGGCTATGGTAGGTCTACAAACAATAAAATAAATAATCTAAAAACTGAATGGATACAAGTATTCTAAAAGGAATTCAACGATATTCAAAAAACCCTGAGTTTGAATCGAAACTTCACCGAACCTTAAGATGCTCCTGTTGCCATTCTATATACTTCCAGAAACGCTTCGACAGTCACGTAAATATTCGACACAGCAGGAATCAGTTGAATAGCTCCTGAATGCTGAACCAAAGTTCAAGTTCGGTGTATGCCTAGTTATTTTTGAATCTATCGAAAATTAAATGCAGAAAAAAAAAATTTTTTTTCTTCATTTGTAGCAATAGACTACAAGCGACTTAGAATGTATTGAGAAAGCATGACTTTTCTTGATTATTGATTAAAGAAAATACTTGAAAATTTTTATTTCGTAATGTTAAACAGTTCATCAATATATAATATTATGCTAGAAAAAAATGACGTTTTTTAGATTTCGAAGCTTATTCAAGGATATCAACGAGAACATTTGACTTATTGGGGTAGTTTTAATCATGTTGTATGCCAAAAATTGACTGCTGAAGTACGACTTCAATCTAACTATATTAAAATATTGACTATTTATATCTCTTAGAATTCACGTATAGTTCGTTTTTGTTCATTAAAAGAAGCAATAGGTATTGTCATTGCTTATTGGCTTGGTTTATTACCGTTTATACCATTAAAACCGGGTAAATCAAATAAGACTGTTTTCAATAATTTTTCTCTTTTATTTTTGGTTCTATATAGGTGTCTTTGAAGTACCTATTCCTGGTGAAGTTTTCCAGTATGATCGAACATTCACTTAATTATATATATTTTTTTTTCTTATATTTAGAAAAATAACAAGAAATTTTAATTGGAAATTTAAAATGGTATTTTATCTCGCAGAACGGTAATTGTTCTATTCAAATAATTTTAATTCGATTTTAATATATTTAGTGCATTAAATAATAAATCTATGTTTGTGCATTTACAACGACGTGGTATTCCGGTAAGCTTCTATCTTTAATTAAAATCTATTATGAATTTTGTTTTACTTGTAGGTGTACGTTTGGACATTAAATAATGAACAAGAATTTGAATATGCTATTCAAAAAATGTCTGTTACCGGTATAATGACTGATTATCCCAGTCGACTTCAAAATTATTTAGCGTCTAATGAACATGAATTTATTTTAAATTAAGTGATAAATAAATATTTATTTTGTCCATTTTTCATAGTATCTCTTTTTATGTTAAAATGAAAACATATTTTTTTTATTAACTAATTTATTTTTTAACAGATGAACAATAATAAAATACATATTGTTTCTACGGAAAACTTTCATCTTTAGTTTTAATAAAACGTTTTTCGTATGATTTACGCCATCTTGTAGACAAATAAAAAAGATAAAGTGGTGATAGAAGAGAGTTAGATCGAAACTTGCGTGTCGAACTTTGTATTGGTATAGACAAAAGTATAAATAATTCTGAGTTTCTGTGAGCCTATATAAACTGTAAACTATCATTACATTTGTTACATACACACCTGTGTCGCACATATCTGGATATTTAGCACAA